TTCACCGTCTTTTGGGCTAATTCCTTTTGGCGTGTGGCTCCTGGATATTTTTCTCTTTTAAGGTATTCGTAGAACAGTCCCTTCGCCTCTTTTGTCGATCTTTTAATATTTTCCGAATCTTAGTCTTCAAGAAATTCTCAATTTCTCGCTGGGTCGATGAAGCGAGTCGAGAGTGAACTTACTTCGCTTAGAGTGAAGAACTTCGTTCTTACTTCGCTGAGAGTGAACTTGATATTGCTCCACTGGAAATCATGCATTGCGCGCGCAACCTAAAGATTATTCACTAATCTTTAGGTACAGATTAGTGAATAATCTGTAGGTTGCGCTGTTTCCCAAAATTAACTGTGGGCGTTTAGCCAATGAGAAGACAGATGGTGACTACAATGCATAATAATCATGATAATTGATCTGGCTGGAGTGTAATTTGGTCTGTACTCATACGCGTGATTTCAAAGTTAAACGAGCGCGCTGCTCGAATTTGATTTGAGCTCTCGAGTTCACTTATCACTTTTTTACATCTAATTTGAAATCATCAAAGTCAGTCGTTCAATACAAGTTTTTTTTAGTCGGTACAATATTTTATTGATCCAGTATACTGAGCTGGTCTGTGAAAAGTTGCACAAGTTGTCTCTCATTTACTCGCACTTTAATTGATTTCTTTAAACAAACCCTGAAATTTGATTGGTTGTAGTGTTTTGGTAAAGCTGTCTCATTAGCTAGTAAAAATATGCAAGTTAGAGCATAAAATGGTGCAATTTATTCACAAATCGCACTGGTGAGAGCCAATCAGAATGCAAGGATCACAAGTGATTCAAAAATGATGTGATAAGGAAAAAAATCAACTGATGTTACCCTGCGATGACATTAGTCTGGCTGTATTGAAATTATGATTTCTTCTTATTTTGGCCGTGTTTTCTTTCTTCGGAATGGGGAGTATTTTTCCTTAAAGTGAATTTTTTTAGTCGTCGTTGTGGACAGTTTTGTTTTATTAGCCACAGCAGCCAACTTACCACACGCCATCCATCTGCTTTACTTAGAGGGAAGATTAGGAACTCATCGCGTAGGCCCACTATAGGAGCTATTTTTTCCATCTTCCTCATCCTTAATGACGATATATTTCTTGTTTATTGAGGTTTTTGTTTCGTTTGTTTTGTTTTGTACAGCATTACCAGGTGAACTGGACATGCTCTTCGTGTTTTAAGAAGCATGATTCAATACTGGTTTCTAAAACTAAATACACATTTAAGAATTTGGAACACTCCAGAACATACAATTTCTCTGTAAAAGCAATGACGACTAAATTTGGTTCTGGGGAGGCCTCGACTGTGACGGCCACAATAACCGATAACTTTGGTGCAGTTGGCAGTTTGAGTCAGTCACTCTCAGAAAACAATTTGACGCTTCATTGGGATATGCCAACTGACGTGGAAAAGGGAGATGTTCAGGTAAGGGTCGTTAAAAACCCGATATAAAGGTCACTCTCCATATATATGTTCGCTAAATTACTAATTCCATGGTGGTGATTTTGGCAATGAAAATGATTATGTCGATGATAATGATGATAATGAGGATGATGATAATAGTAGCAATAAATGATACTAAACTAAAAAGAATGGTACACTCTATTATTGTAATATACTTTACAAATATCTGACTGGAGATTTTATGACAGGGTTTTGTGTAGTACATGTTCTCGTAAATTGCACAATGATAACTACTTTTCAGCCGTTTTGGTCTGTAATTTTTCTCAAAATATAACCGATCCATACTTGAACCTCTCGTAGTGTCCACGTTATACAAGATTTTTATCACGAAAAGACGCAGTTGTGGTGCCTGTCTCTGTTTTTCAGAGGTGTCCGTTGAATACATGTTCATTATTAAGGTTAATATCGTTGGGAAAATTTGGAATGATGGCTGTTGTCCTGCCATTACAAAGTCCGCTCAGCACAGGTGTCTTTGAAGCCTCAACAGGAGGTTACTCTTATCTTGTTAGAAGCGGAAAGTTCACAAGGTGAGGACCGAATTACAGTTCTTATTGGGAACTGCCCTGTCTGTGTTTTTCAGATCTATCAAATTAGCTGGTGTCAAGAAGAGCAGTACTACTATTGCTGGGAACGTAACACTATTAATTCCACGGGCAATGCAACTCACTTCACGATGCAGGTGCTTTCTGGCTATACGTACAACTTTTATGTTCAAGCTTACACAGCTTATGGAGTAGGGAGAGAGTCCAGCATTCAAGTCATAGTGCCGCCTCTTGCTCTGGCAGTGTCGTATGGTTATGGGCGGGCGACGGGAGGCAACTATGGATTAGAAGTTTCTTTGCACTGGTGGAGGTCCCATAGTTATGTAGACAACACCGTGAGTGCACGCTTTGTTCTTCTTTTTTTTTTGCCTTTGCGTCTTTTGGTTTTGGATTATATTTATCGTTATGGTTATCATTCTTGAGATTATGGTTGCCGGGAATGCCTCCAGTAGTTTCCCGAACAGGTTACTACTCACAAGTGTTTTAAAACACAACCGATTTATTCCCGCACTTCTATAGAAACTCGCGATGAAAAGAGATACGCATGATTGCACTCACACGTTTTAATCTGTCAATCAAAAATCTTAGCTATACTCGGCTCCAGTCTCCGACATGATTGTGATCATGATCAGTATCATTCGTGAGTTTTTCCTTTTTTTCCGTTTCGCAACGTCTTATTGAGAGGTTTTTCGAATCAACACCCAAGTACCTCTGTGTTGTTAGGTCTGTGCTTATGTCAGCTTCTTAACCCTGTGACCCTTAAGCGAGGAAAGCACAGAATTTCCCTTTACAATATCACCTCGGAGTCAAACATCAAGGTCATGAAAATAAAGGAAATGATCACAGCTAAAGACACTCGATCGTTAAACAAGTTCTCCAAGTCGCTACCTTAGAAAATGTATAGAGAAGATCATGGAGAATATCCGTACTTATGTCATGGTGTAAAGGGTTAACAAAAGTCAGAACTATTCAGAAAACGCAGCTCAATCTTACACCTTCATCTTTCTGTTTTGTCCGATAGCAATATGAAGTAGAATGGCGCTGCTTATCAGGAACAGGAAGTGGGTACTGTTTTTGGTACAATCGGTATAGATGGAACAGCATTGTTGTAAATGCAACCTCCGCACTCCTGAATATGACATCTTATGGAGTTACTTTCATGTTTAAAATCACGCCAACCATCCCTTCACGAGGCAGAGGAAAGTCCTATCGTTTTGTTGTCAATATGCCTGATTTCAATGCATCCATTGGCAATTTTACCTGTTGGGCTGAATACTTGTCAAATGGTACTCGTCTCAAGTGTCACTGGTCCCAACCCAAAGGCTTCGATATATCTAAATTTTATGTAAGTGACAACAAACTGAATTTAAGCGCTTTTCGATTTCTTAGTGCATGCGCTTAGAGCAGTTTGCCATTTTAACTTCAGAGTTCCCGTTGGCAAATGAGGACGAAAACCGTCGTGCGATTGGCTGTTTTGATTAGGTTAATTTGTTTTCTTAAACACTCGCTGAAAGCTGTTCTAATGTTCTAATAATTTAGTACATGTAGCCTTTATGGGCTCATCCAAGATAATGGCCCAAGACTTTCAAACAATCAGTGTAACAAATGGTAAGACCACAGCGTACGCTGTTGAGGTATGGATGCTCTTTGGAGGTTGCTAAGCATTAAGGAAGCGTAACAGTCGTGTGAGGTGATGGCTTCTCGAGTGCTTAGCAAACCTCTTAAGTGCATCCATAACTCAATAGTGTACGCTGTGGTGTTTGCCGTTTGTTTTATAACGTAACATTGATACATTGTAGCAAACGAGTTCCCTTTTACTCAGCTCTAAAATCTTACGCGACTAGAACAAACAAGCGCACGGAAACCAGTCTTTGCATTTCCTGACATCAGCAGCGTACACCCATGGCAAATGGTGTACACTGAATTCATCAATCAAAGCGCGCGCTTTACTTGGTTGTGTTATAATGTTAGTTACAAGGCACCTTAAGTTATTTAATTGTGTTTTTGTGTTATTTAATTTTGTTTTTGGTAGCACTACGACTTCAAATACAGGTGTGACGATTGTCTTGGGGGACATGACATCTACAGATCAATCAGATCTATTAATCAAACCTCAATCATCATAGATGTGGATAGAGGTCAACGATACACACTTTGGAACAAAGCCCACGCAGCTTATGGATTTGGAACTCAAGCCCAGACCACGGTTCTTATTAAGTCTAAATTAGGACCTGTGACAAGTCTGAAAGCTGTAATTGATCCAAAGGAGAAGGACCGTGTGCATTTGTCGTGGAAAGCCCCAGCCCACTCGTCCATTAAGGTTTGTATTAAAAAGATGTTGCAGAGCGGCTACTATTGTAAGGAGCCCCTTTACCCAAAACCAAGTGATAAGATTATAGGAAACAAGCTATGAATTTTATCAAACACCTTTTCAAAATTCTTTTTGTCTTTGCCTCCGATGTTCCCAAGAACTGATTAGCATATTTAACCCTTAACTGCAAAGAAGGACCAAATTTCTCCTTACAAAATCACAGAAAAGTGATGAAATGAAAGAATGATACAGTCCAACCTTTATAAAGCGGCACCTCGTCAAAGTGCTGAATTTTTTATCCCGTGATTACTGTAATTTTCACTCCTATTTAGTGGTCACTTACTGGATCCCAACGAACTGTGTTTAACGGTTACGTAAAGCACAACCACTAAATTAAAACTAAGTATAATCTTTGTCGTAAAATGTAGTCCATGTTTATTTCCGAAATCAAGGTTGGTAGTAATATTGAGCTAAATTTTGTACATGAAGTAGTCAATTACGGCATAAAAGGACGTTTTTTTAATCGTTTCTCTATTGTACCCTTTTCTGTGGAACCTGTTTTGAGCGGTCAACTTGTATTTAGCGGTCATCCAGCCATTTCCCGCTTAATATATATTTGACTGTATCAACAAAGCGATGATTTTTGCTTTAACACCTTATTCTCATAACTGAAGTCAAAAAATGTAGGTTAAACAGAGCAGGGAGATAATCTTTTACGAACTTGGAAATGAAAGGGTTAAACCAAGGATAAAACAGGTTTCCACAGTAGCTTATTGTGACTTCGTTGGAGAACGAGGTCGTTATCGTGCTCTTGACGTAATCCTGAAGTAATCGAAAAAAGCTTTACTTAAATACCCATCACGTTTAGGAGAAACAACGTCCTGAATATTCACAATAATTTCAAAATCCGGGCCATTTCGTTTATAAGCACTTACCAAATACAGATTTTCGTTATTTTTTTTCTTATTCAACTCTGGGAATTGTAGCTCATTTAGAAAATGGAGAAAAGAAATAATGGGCAGCCATTATTTATTTCCGAGATTAGTTTCAGTTTATTACCTCGGTAATAGGCGAACTTATAAGCACTTACCAAATACACATTTCCGTTTTTTTTTTTTTTTGTCTTCTTCAACTCTGGGAATTGTAGCTTATTTAGAAAATGGAGTAAAGAAGTGACAGGGAGCTATTATGTATTTCTGATCTCAGTTTTAGTTTGATACTTCGGTAATAGGCGAACTTAACGGTTTAGATTATCCACAGTAAGGATATCAGAAGGACCTATTAGTCAGCCAGCATTGACGAGGGGGTAGGTTGTCACGATACAATTTGCCTGATCCCTTCCCCCCACGAAGGCTTTGTTTTATTCTCATAAATCCAGTTAATTGGCTGTCAGTTTTCTAAACTCCCCCTTTTGTACTCTGTCAACGATGACTGATCCCCACTCCATTCCCTCTGAAAGCTATGTGATCCCCCTCAAAATCCCTGACCTGTTTAGGCGACAATTAACAGTTGTTGCCCTATTTCTTTTACTTTTAGTCTTACATCGTGGTCATTGAATGTCCGGATTGCGCATCATTTAAAACAGACCCAGTAGTGAGGGAAGAGACCAACTTCACCCAAATCCTCCCCTGTGGAAACTCGTACAAGTTCACCGTTAGAGGAGTTACCAAGGACAGTAAGCGAACCCAGGAGAGCACTCAAACGCTGAGCCTTCCAGCACCTGTTGGAAAAGTAACAAACTTTACAGTCAAGCCTAAACCATTCAAACCTGATGATATTCTCGGTGACGAGAAGGAATGTTCTGTAATTAGGTGGGGCCCCCCTCAGGAAAAGGAGCCTTCTAGCGCAGAGGTATCGTGAAACCGCCCCAAGTAATTTCCCCTCTTGATATTTACAATACGTTTTGATTTGTTGGTTTTCTTTGCCAGTAATGGTGCTTCTCGACTCGTTATCCATTTGAATTCGGTAAATGTAAGGTGTTGTCTTTCTAACGGTGAACATTTGTGGCTTAAAAACCCCGTTAAGCAACGACAAATAGTACGTTGGCAACCGCCTGTATACATATTCGCTTCGAAAATCGTACCAGTTTCTGTAGGAACTTAGATATTGTAGGACTAGTCGCGTAATCATTAATTTTGAGTTATTCGGTTAAAAACAACTGAAAACTTCGAACGAAGTTAGACTAACACTACTCTTTACTTTTTGCGAAGTCCGTCGCGCGAGTAAAAATAATCAGGGATATGTTGGGCAGTTCGTGCGCGTCTTTCCCTGATCTTCAGCCGACGCGCCATTATTATCTTTCTGTTTCTCGCAAATCATAGACTCGTGCGACGGAATTCGCCGAAAAGCAGAGACTTTGGTAGCCTTGAAATATCTCGTTGGTTTTCACAATCTAAGTTCGTCTATCCCGTTCGCCCTTTCTCCGTTAAAGTTCGTTTTCTTTCTTCATCAAGGTTTAGACCTCCTTCAGAAGGTAGTTTCCGAATTTCGCGATCGGGGATCTGGCTTTTAGCGGCCTCTTTTTTTCAGGAACAATGGAATGGCCTGTAGGATGAGCGAAAGTGTATTGGGTTATTATCCCCTGAATGTCACCCAAAGTTTGACATGCTTATCTTGATATCCTGTGTTTCAGTGGAATGGCTATGAAATTGTGGTGAGGACGATAGATTCCCCAAAAAATATCTTATATTTCACGAATACGTCAAAGGAGACTCAGGAATTTACTTTGTGTGTTACTGAGCGCAATGAATTGCAAGCTGGAAAGGAATATTTTTTCGAAATTCGTGTCACTGTTCCCTGTGGCTTTGGTGAAAGAGCTAGAGTGATTGCTCGCTTCGCCAGTGTTTTGGGTGAGTATTGCTTCCTTTCGTTTTGTTACATCGTCACTATGCCTTAATTTTAATCAGGCTCTGAAATCAACTATCTTGTTTACTTCCTTGTTTTCAACCAAGTAGGATCGTCTGAAATTCATTTGGGAGGTTACAATTGTCCTTTGCATACATGATTCAATGTACTTAACTGCTTTCGACAAACTCCCTCCCCTCTCCCCCCCCCCCAAAAAAAAAAAAAAAACAAAACAAAAATTTCTTTTTTACCAGATTCGAAATACGTCGCACACGTTTGTATACCCTTTCAGTTATCAACTTAAGTTCTGTAAGTGTTA